AGTTTAAATCAAATGGGTAATCTTCAACGAAAACAAGGAAAAAATAATGAAGCTTACGATTTGTTTCAAGAAGCTTTGACAATTTATGAGAAAAATTCCTCATCTCTCGAAGCAGATATTCCATATACTCTTACGAGTCTTGGTATTATTAAATATAATCAGGGAGATTATGATGGATCTTTGAACTATTTTAATCGAGCAGTAAATATACGCAAAAAATTTTATTTGACTAATTGTAGTCAAATAATTCTTAGTCTAAATTGGATTGCATTTATTCATTATCAGACACAATCGTATGATCAGGCAATTGAATTTTATGAACAATGCTTACAAATTGCTAAAGCCAATGCTGTTCCAGGGCAGTTAACTACTGATGAGTTTCTTGGGAAATTAAGTGGTATTAAACGAGCTCAACTTCAGTATGAAAGTTCCCTAGCATACGAACTAAACTGTTTGTTAATGCGTGAAAAATTTCTACCACCCAATCATCAAGATATTGGTAAAAGTTTAAGTAATATCGGTTTATGTTATGAACATCTTAATCAACGTAAATTGGCACTTGATTATTATAAACGAGCATTATTCGTTTATGAACAATGTCCATTAGCTACGCATGATCGATGGACTATAGAATTAAAAATTGAGGAACTTTCTATAGAAATGAATCAATTCAACATTTAAATCTTCAGAATTTGTTCAAAACAACGATAATAAAACAGTACAGACATTAAACACGAATTTGATTAAATAAATTTAATAAAAGTCATGAGATTGTATGTTGAGGATGTGAAAATGAGTGTGCGTACTGTCTATTCTTTTAGGTCCACACCCTTAAAATGAGTAAAATTGAAGAACATCACTTAAGAACTTCTAGTCATAGTCTATATGAATTGGTTTATAAGTTTCAACTAAACGTGTATAGGGTGCATACATCACTTGCTGTCACTTCACGACTGTATACTCGAAAGTCATCCACAACACCTGCAAATGGGCCTGGCAATACTTGATTGCCTGGAAGTGTGGTGCAGCTCATACAGCCGTTTAAACAGCCACCTAATGTCACGTAATTAACCCAACTCGACGCAGTCTGATAAGTTGTCGCTGCTACTGATCCAACTAAAACATTATTGATATATAGTCGAAGTCCATTTGTCGAACTCCACGTCTGAACAATATGAGTAAAATCGGTCAGTGACAGAGTTGAATACGATATAGCCACATAACTAGTATTTGTCATCATTTGAACTATTAATGAACCATTCGATGAGAAGCCGATAAAAGGAGCACAAAAATCAGTACCAGAACTATTGGTCGATACGTGTACGATTGTCCCCGCAAGTGACTGTGGCTTCACCCACAGTGAAAAGCTGAATGGCTGATGGGCTATGCCAAGAGCAAGAAAACCTGATGCTTGGAAGAATGAAGTGGAAATACCCATGAATGAAATAGCTTGTAGAGTTCGACCACTGACTAGATTGTAATTTGAAGCGACAGATGAGACGGAATTTGGTCCGAGATCAAGTAGTGGTGAACTTCCATCGAAGCTGAAACGAGCCGCCAAAGTGGCCTGTTCCAAAATTTCACACGCAGACTTTAGTCGACCACTAACGGACAGCTCGTCAATGTAACCCTGTAATCATCGAAATTATTCATATTTTAATTTAGTTAAACTTGGTATTAAAAAAATCAAACTCATCCGTTCGTTTTCGAAAGAAAGTCTCTATTTTTACACCTAAGATGTGTAGTCTATTGTTAATGCGATTCATGTTATGTTTAAAGACCAGCACTCATGCAAAGCCTACGGGCTCTACAATACCTGATCGATAATTTGGTAGGTTGCAGTTAATGAGGTTATACAATGTTACTGTAATAATAATTTGTGATCACATCTCAGTAATGGTTGGGAATATGTATTACTAATCGGGCAGATCATTCAAATATTTTTAATGAAAACTGTTTGATGGCTACTTAAACTTCGTATCTGACTATCATAAGAGAGATAGGATCAATTTCTATGGAGTTGAAACAGAATGTTTCTTAAACTGGGTGTAAAAATATTATCCTTCAGTATAATAACATAGATGATCGAGTGTTTTAATACATACCTGGAATGTGTCGACACTCGCTACCAAAACAGGAATATTGCCAATTTGAAAGCTGCCAGTGGTCGCTTTCAATCCAGAAGAGGTTGAGCCTCCTGATAGAAAAATTCCATTGCGGTAGACTGACAGTATTCGATTTGTGGCATCATATACGAAAGCTGCATGCACCCAATTATTGATCAAAATGGCTGGTGTATTCGTATTGACATCATCACCATAAAGACCAAAGTAAAGTGGATAGATCGAGCCGGTCAGACGAAGTGTCATATGCAGACATTGATCAGCTGCTGCTGTGGGACAAAGACCGCAGATACTCTGGTGTAATGGATTAGTCAGACCAGTTGGATAAATCCAAGCATCTATAGAAAAGCTTGTATTTGCCAAAGGAATGTACGAAGTCGACACCATTTGACTAGAATTAGCGACGAATGAAATGGCTTGACCAGCGTAACCTTGAACGAATGTAAGATTAGGACTACCTGATGCAACGCCATTATGCAAATTGAACTCATCAGCATAGTTGTTTTCAAAATGCCATTTAGCCAAGATTGACGCTGTAGATAACCAAGTTTGATTGAGACAAGTAGTATTACATATGGGCAGAGTCGTTGTTGTACCTTATAAATATCATCATCATTTTTTAAATATATAGGGGTGTGAATACTGTATTCATCTAGCAGCCACATCCACAACCATCTATTTTCATCAAACTACACACATTACTTACTCGTTGATGTACTAGTGCTTGTTGTACTTGCTGAAAGTTACATAATAATATTTCAATATCTAAATGAAAATCTTACTTGTAGTTGTAGTAGTTTGAGAAGTAGTCGATGTGCCTAGAATTTATCATAAACTAAGATGTTTATCATCAGTTAAGCAAGTTTTCCCTACTTATACTTGTCGTACTCGTACTTGTTGCACTGGTACTAGTACTTGTCGTACTGGTACTCATTGTTGATGCTGTTTGAGAATAAAGTCATGTAAAGAAATGTATTTAGAAACAATAAAACGTCTACTTGTATTTATCTTTGAAGTGATATTGTGTATCATCTCATGGATTCAGCCCAATATCAGATCACACTCTGAGCATTCTTTTTTATTGATTAACTCTCTGCACAAATCTTAAGTTTTCAATAGAACTAACTGTATTTATACATAAAAAACAAATGAACATTTTCTAATGTCATATAGCGACAAAAATAAGATTACCGATTAACTATTCTTTCGATAAACTACTATCTATAATCACAATAGAAGAATGATATATGTTACATATTCAATTCGAAATTAACTTATAATAGTTCTTTATCTAATTACTAATGATCTTTTAATTGATTAACAAAATCAATAGTCATCATTTATATCTCATCATAGGTTGTTACTGAACCAAAAACTTTACTCAATTATCTTTTTATTCCATTTGATGAACAAAAAGATAAAACAATCAAGATGAAGACAATAACTTTAATTGGTACATACTTAATATTTGTGTTGCTGTTGTTTTTGATGTCAACCAGAATGTGAGTACAATAGCTAAACCTATTCCAGCTAGTAATGATCCAACAATGCAACATCTAAAACACCAATACCAGGCAAAGGATGTCTTCTTTCGATCAACTCTATCATCATCATCTGTCCAAACAATACGTTCGATCGGTAAATGACTTCCATGTATGGTCCATGCTGGATCCGATGACCAGTCGGAATATTGTCGATATGTCATTATGTGTAATGTCAATGGATTGGTCGCTAATTCCGATCTGAATTGAATAAAGTAAAAATATGTATATTTTATATAGTAAAAATAATCAATAATGACTTCATTTCAACGGCTTCGGACATATAATGTAAATTTCATATTTTGAGTAAACACAATTCATCAATCTAATCAAAAGATTGGTCTAGAGAATAGAAAAAAAAGTGTAACAGACTGTGTGTTCGATTGAGAAATTCTTTGTTTATTAGAAATGGATGAAATGTATGTCACAATTGGAAGAAGGCAAGTAAATACGAAATTGTTTTGCTCTATTAATTAAATTCGCAAGTAGGAATTTTAAAAAGTAAACATATTCTGACAAAATTGGATGTTATTAAATACTGATTCAAATTAATTCTGAAGTCCAAAATTTTACCTTTTCTAACTAAATTATGAATATATCTAAATTTAATGTATACTAATTATTCCATACATATAACGAATTGATTGTATTCTTTTATTGAGCATGTCAGATATGCAACAGAACCAAAAAAAATTGAAGTGTATATTTGCATGTTTGTGCTTCATTGTTTTATTTCTTTTCGTCGTATTTTCTACATCAATCTTCAGAACAAAAAGAATTCTCTTCGCAAAATAAAATCTTTTCATTTGATTATTGTTGCTCATGAATTAAAAAATCGTACGTATAAGGTCTGTAATCAATTATTTTATTCACTCATCGAATAAAAAATGCGTTGAATTGTGACATTCGAATTATGATTAAGATTATAAGTTATTAAGCCAGATATATTAGATTAGTTTCGATTTCGATTACGTTTTGACTATTTGAGTTTGCTTCGACATAAATATTTTGCATATTCAATAAAAGAACGGTTTGTCTTTGATTTTTTTTTCTACATTTGGAACAATATTTGCATATATAATAATAAATTTTCATTTTATTTTATCTTAATTGATATGAGAAAATTTTGTTATTAATGATTGATTACTTCATTATGAACTCAATAATACCAAAATCTAATCTTCAAGCATGGAAAAGACTGAATATTCAATAAACTACCTTGAGGGTGTAAGTAGCTGTGAGAGTGGATGATGTAGTTGTGGCTGAGGATGAGTCAGATTGAGAATATCCTTGTCCACTCACACCCACGCACATCCATACTCACCCTATGCATATTCTTCAGGGTGTGGGATGTGGGTATGGGTAGGTGAAATAAAATACAGACATCCACACTCACACCTACACTCACGTTGGATACTAATGTGACTGCGTGATTTTATATCACATGAGCCTAACCCACGCCCACCTCCTCTCAGAGGAAATGAATGCATTATGATGACCACTCGCCTTCAAATTCACGTCGGCATCCGCTACAATTTTTTTGCTTCTGACGAATGGTACATAACCAATATTGTTTGCTCTGTTGCAAGCAACAGCAAAGCTTTTTTCTCTCGTTCTGATGCGAGTCAACAACCAGTAAGTCAGAATTTATGCAACGATCACCTTCATCTTTCAAGATGTGATGACTAATAATTGTTAAAAGATTTCGTTTTGCAAAAAAATCATAAACGTGTCTTGTGCTTTATCATAAAAAGCAAATATTTATTCTCCGCTTATTATGCTGCTCTCTCTGTCAACGTGTAACCACTCCGATCACGAACGTTTTCTCCATATAAACGAAATGTCTGAGTGCACACATTATTCACTGCATGTTGGTACCTTAATAGCATTACAACGTATGAAAAATGTTGTTTTTTCGAAAATACGCCTATTAAACATATTCTGTCGATATTTAGTGAAAATAATCTTCATGATTAATACAAAAACAAGAAGAAACAACTTCATTGAAAAAACATTGATGAAAGAAACCATTCAAAACGATTACGTCGTATTATGCATATTGGTGAAAGATAGTTGGTAAGTGATTAAAACTAAAAAAAGAAGAAATATAAAGTGATAAAAATTATCCCATTATGAATATACAGAATTGTCACATACTTTCTGAGAATGCTTGTTTAATAGAATTTTGACTTGCTAAGGGCATGGAATAGTATTACCAAAGGCCAAAACTTCTAGGCATAAAATAGATACTATGCATTCTTGATCTAAAGATTCTTTTCTCTTGCTTTAAATCAATCGTAATGTTTTACAACTGCCTTATTCTTTATGATATAGGTAGAAAAAAGTTCTTCTTATTATAAACATAGTCAATAAAGTGACTGATGAGGAGATCTTGCCAATTGTAGAATCGGTTTTCGAATGAAATCTACTGGGTCTGAGACTATTGGCTATGCTGATTCTGAATCGGACTATGAAAAGCGCTGTTAGGACTTTCTCTAATGATTTTCTAGAATGTCAAACGTTTTATCAGATGTTATCTTTTTGTCTGCTGAAATTATGGAGCAGTTTGAACTATTTATAAAATAATAACTGCTTGTATTTTAAGTTGATTTTTTTCTAAGAAATACAGTCATTTGTATTCATATAACAGATGCATATAATAACATTTGATATAAAAATACAAAAGTTTATATCATTTGTCTGTAGCTCATTTTTGCAGAAAGAAAACTCTGTTGATTTATGCACATTTTTATCTGCTCTATAATCTGAGCAGACTAAAGGCAGCATCTGATGAGATGTTCAGTATTGTAGAAAACTGGTTTCTATAAAGCTATTATGCGAAGGTCTAACAGCACTTCTCATAGTCATATTCAAAATTACCATAGCCGATAACCTAGAACCCAGTAGATTTCATCATAAAAATGATTTGACAGTTGGAAAGGTTCCCTTGTGAGATAATAATATCGATTATTATTCCGAACACTTTCAATCTTTTTTCATTCTTCTGAAGATTATTATATCGTGTATGCATTCAGTGGGAGTCAGGCATCTGCATGTGTAGGCGACAAATCGATATCATTCGTTTTCTTGCTCATCCACGTTTTCGTTCCTCTATATCTGTGTAGAGGTGTCTATTGACTCTTGCCTTTTGGTGATGACTAAAATACAGCTACGTTGTAGATAAGTTGGTTTTTATCACAATTTACATGATAAAGGTAGGTGTTTAAAGGAACAGCATAGACTAACAGCACATTTCTCATATACAATAGCGCTGTATTACCTGTAGTCGGTGTTGGTAAGATGCAGAGTGTCATATCATCGATCAATAGCTGACCAGTTTCATAAGCTTCAGATAAATTAAATTTAATTCTAATCACAAGAATTTGTGTGAGTCTTACTTGTTACTTTGTCACTAAGTATTATATTTCTTGCAGCTTCAAAACCATGATTACCATTTGAGTTAAGCCAAAAATCATTGGTAGCACCTAAAATGAAAATATAACAAGATACTTTTCTATTACTACGGCAAAGCACATATTTTCATACTAAAAGGCAAATATGCTGACGAAAGAACGTATCCAACTGTCGAGCGCCAGTCGATGGTGTGCGTGTGAACGAAATCGAAGAACTACACACTCCATACCAACACCCAACATCCACACCCACATTCACACCCACAATGGTGAAAAACGCATCTATATTCGAATTAACCTTTAAAGGCGCATGTTTTTTATCTTCTATTTGATTACTCACTAAAACTACCATATAATATTGGGACTTTTACCATAAGAAAAATACAACATGTTCCGTTCCTTTTCTTGTCCTATCGATAACAGTATTTTATTACGACGTGCTACGTAAGATGCATTTTTTATATCTATACGTAAGGTCAAATTTCGTTTTTGTATTAGCTAAAATCATTTCGATTTACTCTTTCTCCCTACAAACAATGGCATTAATATTAAAGATCATTTTGTAACTCTTTCATTTGTTACTTATTGTAATATTTTTATTTATTGTAGAAAATCGGCTGGATGTATTATGCGATTCATTACATATTATACCAAGTGAAGACGAACGACTACTTTGTTTATTTGATGAAGTATACATCGAAGCAACCAAATCCAACAATCAGTTAATTATTATTTACAAGTAAGAATAACAATATATTTGAATATGACATAGTCCCAGTTAAGGATGTATCGAACCAGTGCCCTGACCGAGCCTCTTGGCCTCGGATTCAATTAGCCTCAGGCTTGGGCTTGGCTAGACTCGGGTTCGATCAGGGATCAGGCTCGAGGTCGGACTGGGTCAGGGATTGGGTGGGAGGATGGGTATGAGTGGGTGTGGTGAATGCGGGTACTATCCTTTTCACTCTCACCCAAAATTTCGCCACCATTCTCACCCGCGCTCTCACTCATACACTCACCTACACCCACCCACTCCCGTACCTATCCTGACACTCGAGTCCTGACCGAGCTCGAGTATGGCCAAGCCCAAGAGGCTCGCGCTTAGTACATCCCTACGCCCACTTAAGAAAGTTGGTAGCACAATATATATTGTTGCGATGCCCTTAAAAAGTTGTTTTTTATGCGCATTGCGGTACACTTCGACATAATTCCTTGCTTTAGAACATAGAACTTCAACAAGAAGATACTGTATAGATATTTTAACGAGACTTAAGTTATACGTGACATATGATAGTACCTTGAAGTCGAATGTTCTGGTATATAATGCTCTCCAGACCCTATTTCTCACGTTCTGTGATGAGTAGTTAATTAATTAAATGTCTGGCACAATCTGTGACGCTTTACAATGATCTTTGACTTCTGTCTGTCGCGTCTGTGAGGAGCGCAACGCAATGGATGCGAATATATATCACTAAACACTTCAACATTATTTTTAGTTCATGTTTCACAAAAAAATTAATCGTATTACCAGTACCAATATTTTGAATAGATGTATTTCCAGCTGTTTGAAATTGTTGAATTGCCCCATCTTAAAAACAAATAGAATGTTTTAATAAGGGTTTTAATCTAAACTATTTATAAGATGCCGTTTAGAAAGAAAGTTATTTCCATTCCTTTTCATGAAAATAAAACCAAACTATTCATCAAAGTTCTAGAGATTAAACAAACGTACAAAATTATAAATTACATATACAAGACTTTCAAATAAAATCAGTAGTTTCTATTCGTTTTTTCTCTGAAAAAGTCACTATCATGGAACAAAATTGAATAATCATTTTCAGATTATTTTTTATGGTTTAAAAATCCTTAATTTAGATATTAACTACCAAAAGAAAAAATTATCAATCTTCGAGCAAAATCATTTGTTCATACATTTATAAATAATTCGAATTATCTTTTTTTTTATTTTATAGAACGTCTACGACATTATGTCATCGTTTCAAATCAAGATACAACATAATAATTTAGTAGATGAATCATCAAAAAATAATTTCAGACGAAAGGCATCTGTATAACTCAACTGGAAACTTTGGAATATTTATTCAGTTTTTATATTTTTCAATGAAAAATGTTTCCTATTGATATTATCGATATAATCTACACATCAAAATCTTCTTTACGTCTTTCTACTTCGTTGGCAATTAAACTCAGTAAAAAGGGTATAAAAAATGTTTTTACAATATCTAAAATTTTATTTTTCATTTATTTAGTACTTAATGAAATGAATCTTTGAGAAGTAAATCTACATATACCATCATTATGAAACTATTAAATCAGAATCTCAAGTGGAAAAATGAAATTCGATTTTGTTAAGGATAAAATCTTTATTATTAGATTATTATTTCCAAGAAAAAAACAAAATGTTTTTTTTTGTTTTCTCCGATAAAATTTCGGTAAGTTTATTTCTATTTCATAAATACTATCTGAAAAGAATGTCTCTTTTTTGTAGAATTGATTGATCTTTCATGGAAGATGAATTAATGATACGTACTTTGAAAAGCAACCACAGAAGAATCATTTGCATCAGAAAAACCATATTCTTCCTACAATGAAGAAGCTAAATGTCATAAATAAACATTGAACAACGTACCCGTCCTAATGACACATTTTCTGAGCGAGGATCTACATTTTCTTCAATACCTTCATCATCCAGTATTTGCTAAATATATTAACAATTTTAATATGATAAATAAATTAAAGAATATGTATGTTTCATCAACTTACATCCATTCGGAATCTTGAATTTGTCATTTTTTCTAGGAAAACCAATTAATTAAATCTATGTTGTCAATCTTTAATTGAAACTGAAGATTTATTCAATATATGACTTCAGTTATCTGGAACAATCTATTTACAAATTAATATGTGTCGTATAATAAATGTACATTTAGAAGGAATATTGTAAATGAAAAGGCTGTTCTCTCTGGTGCTCAATCATCTCAGGCTGTACATTAGAGCATATTATAATTAGTATTAATCAATCGATCTGTCTGATCATTACCGCATGCACCATCATCGTAATGCTTTCTTATATATCGAATAAATGAAAATAAAAAGGATGCTTCATGTATGATTGTTAATTCCAATATGATCAAACAAAGTTTTCAGGGAAGTATAGAGTATCGACTGATATACAGTGTTTTAGAATTATTCCATCAGAAAGCTTTGGTCTGATCGACTCGGATATATAATACCATCTATATGTATGTGAATCATGTAGACGAAATACATATAGTGACATCTTCTATCTAACATCAGTTTTCTCAGTTTTCTACTGAAAATTTTATTTAATTATTAAAATTATTAGATAAGAGTTTTTATTCTAATAAATAGTATTCTTATGAAATATTATTCAGATGTCGTTACTCTTAACAAATTTTCCATTGGACGGGGAAATTTCCAACATGTTGACGTAACGAACTAAGATAAACTTCAAATATTTTTCTATTAAATCTTGAAAATAGTTCTCTAGAACCAGACAACCTTTATGTACAATAATGCTACAAGAATAATCATTCAATATTTTAGAAAAATTTCTTCTCCAATATGGTTATCATAAGGTAGACAGTATTCCAATTGATGCTATTCAGATATTAGTTTGTATCGTTTTAGCAGAAAGTATGTTTATTTAGGGACAAGTATAACATGAAATATACATTTGAAAAAAAGCTGCACCCCGTACTTCAGTTAAATCCTTACCATATAAAGGTGTTTATCAAACGCGTGTTGAGGTACTCAAAGCAATAGGACCATTACACCCCTGGTTTGTTGGCTCTGTTGTTTTTTCTCTATCAGTTCCATCTTATTTAATGAATATTTTTTGTGTCCCATTATTAAGACTAGAGAGTACAGTTAGTTTGTTTTAAGACCAATAAGTGTGCGAAATAGATGGTGGGTGTATGTGTAAGCATTTTGTATATATCGCACCGATATTCATTTTCAAGGTGTCAAAGCGGAGATTTACCAGCTATGAGGATCCAACCCAGACCGATCTATGATATGTGAATAAATAGGGGTGGGTGTGGCGTGGAAGTGGGTGGGATGTGGGTGTGGGTGTAAATGCTTGTTGTTCTCTCACTTACATCCACCCTTTTAAGATCTGCTTAGACAGCATTAGTTTGTCTATCAAAATACATGAAACAATTTAATAAATACTATTGATTCAGAAAACACGACGTGACTATTTTAGACTATGTTAATTATATGAACAGATATAGAAATAAGCACAGGGGAATTTCCGTTTCTAAAATTTATGCTTACAAATCATGGAATATTATTATTGAATAGTTTGTCACGTACTTACAAAGCTAACTGCCTGTTGATTGAATGTGTTCATAGGAAAGATAAAATAAATTCTATATCTAACACGTACTTCTCTCTCTCACTTATTATTTAACAAAGGATGCATTTATCAATGAAGGTAACAGAATAAAAAATTATTAGAATGAATACATGGTTCATCTTCACGTTTATCGAACTTTCAATAAAGGCACTAGTCACAATTCATGGTATAGAATTAATACATGATACAGACATATTGCCAAATGCACAGTATTTTGATTGTTTGGATTATACAAATGAATTTACGAATACACGTGCCATCAAATATTGCATTCAACCGAAGAACATCACTAATTATACAAAACAAATAAATGCAGATGATCAAATACAATGTGAAAATGGTGGCGTTGCATATTCGTTTTCATCACTTTTCAAAGATCACATCGATCCAAGTACTGTACTTTCGACCTTTCATTCCGGGATTGAACAGGCAGATCGATATGGAACCTATTATTTTCGTCGTAAAGAAAATGATTCATCTGCTTTGATCGGCGATGATGATTATGTATGCAAGTGAGACAATTAGATATTGAAATTTTCATATGTAACATATTATTTAATATCTATATTCTAGTTGTTCTTCTTCGAAAGGTGTTTTTGGTCGTCATTGTGAATATAAGCTTTATGTCGGTCATACACTTGCTGAAACAGCTCGTCTAATCAAAACACAGAATAACAGCCATGCACTGGCCGGTCAACTTCAACGTCGACGGATGTGCTATACTTCCATTGATTGTGAATATGGACTTTTATGTTTGGATTGGAGAGATATTTGTGATGGTAATTGATTAAAATATTTCTATTGTGTTCTATTTTTCATGTTAAAGGTGCGCAAAACTGTATGAATGGTGTAGACGAAGAAAATTGTGGTAAGGTGGAAATGAATGAATGTCTTGAGAATGAATTTCGGTGTCAAAATGGTTTGTGCATTCCTGAAGAGTATTGGTTAGATGGTTAGTTGTATATATTTTATCCGAGTGAAGTATTTCACTCATTGTACTATCACATATTTATCAGCTTATAAAATGGATTCAGTTTGAGATAATCATATATTCTGAAAATGTACTGAGAGATGTTTTATTCTATAAAATAATCCTTTGACTTCCGAATTATTTTTTTGTTGGATTGAATTCAAGTAAATCGTTGGATTAGCCACTTCCAGACATAAGGGTATACGTTAGACATATCTCATGTGTTCTCACAGGTGATTAGTCGATTTGCGCAATGTAAGTTACATTGAATTCTATTAGGCTGAACGGACATTTTAACTGTTGAAGTTTATTAATTGCAAAACTGATAGTGTTTTCATGAAATAGGAAAAAACAATTTTTATGCTGTTTTACACATAAAGAAATACCACAAAAACTGGATTGTATGTTGCTAAATATTGGACGAGCTTTAGTACTGCAATGTCCACACCTTCCTTCAGGTCCAGCAACAGGTGTATGTGCTAATTTTTATGAATTACATTATGAGAAATATAAAAAAAAACAGGTGTAGCTTTTTTTATACCAGGGAAGTCAAAGGGTTAATCTATATCATCTTAAAGATATAGTTCTCTACTTAACATATGAACAACTCTTGTGTTTTTTAGGTGAATTTGATTGTCAAGACACATCTGATGAGCTTACTCGATCCGATTTTGAAGAGTCTTGTCCTCGAGAGAAAGGTATGGAATGCGATGAACATATATGTCAAGAAGCTACATCATTTTCTTGCGGAGATGGCCAGTGCACCTTACCATATACTTTTACTAAATCTTTATCCAATCTGATAAACGGGGATGATCAAACATTCATCTGTAGTACATTACGTGATTTGGCATTTTTTTGTGAAATTCATCAACCTATGCGATTATGGACACTAAAAGACGGCTTTTGTGTATGGTTTTCTGCTTCATGGAGTAATCAAGTCAGTGGTACTTTAGACAATTTGTGTGAATTTCTTCTAAAATGTCGACTCTCACGCAGTCTGTCTACAATTTGCCCAACGGATGATATTATATCCTTATTATTAAAAGGCGATTGTCGATCAAAACTTGGTTTAATCAAGTATCCACCAGGACCACTGCTCGGTCCTCTGATGAACACTTATTACGACTCAGACTATCAATTAACACCTACTTTGCTACCTAACTATGCTATTACAAGAGGTCAAATGCGATGCGCTGGCTTTCAGTTAACTATAACTGGGAATGGTTTCTTGATTCCCGAGCCTAAAATTTTTCTCTTATCTCTTAATACAAAAGTTGATCGACGTATATGTCGATATGCAGCAAGCCCTAATTCAGAGTCATCTTTTATACGCAATTATTCAATTCTCGCTCCTCATTTTGATACTGTATGTTGGCACAAATGGCTTCCATACTTTAATCTTTCCACTGTTGAAGAAGTGGTTGCTTCATGTAGCGAAATGTGTTTATCACCGCATCGCATTCATGATGGTATTGGCAACTGTAGGGATGATAATTTTTTCGATGAGACAACCATAATTTCACCTATTCAACATTATAATAATCATTGTCTAAATTGCCTTACACACAAACAGGAAGCGATTTGCTTGCCAGTATTTTATATTGGCACAAAATCGTCGATTTGTGCAGATGGTGAAGATATATATTTAGGTGAAACTAATATTGCTTTGCAAACTTTGAAATGTAACAGTAAGGATGCAACTGAATGTCATATAATTCGTAGTCACATTATTCAACCATCTATTAATAAAAACAATATGACAATTATAACATCAGTCTCCTCTTCTAAAGTACTTCCATTTGCACAGTACTGTGATACATTCTCTGATACTGCAATAAGTATTGATGAGAACGTCGAACATTGTTTATATAAATGGATATGTGCCGATAATGAATATCGTTGTCTTACAGGACAATGCATCCCTTTTATTTGGCTGTGCGATGGTAAGATAGTTGTTTTTACATTGTGATCATGGTGTTGAACTGAATATCTTTAGGTGAATGGGATTGTAGTGACGCATCTGATGAACAAGGATTATTGCTTCAAGTAGGTAATTTTACTGACAAACATAATCAGCTAGTGTTAAATTTCACCAAAATATGGACGAGTTGTTTCGAACGATATAAAGAGCAACCATTTGCTAATCTATGTAATATTACAATCGAATATCCTTGTCTTCTTGCAAATGTTGATAACCCACTTAATTTCACACTAAATCCACCATGTATAGGACTTGAAAGAATTGGAGATGGACGCATAGATTGTCTTGGCAAAATTGACGAACGCAATCTATTCAAATGTGATTCAGATGTTCTTGGTTGGGGATATGGTTGCACAGATCCCAAAAATGCGTGTATACCCTCGGCTATGCTTTGTTCTGTGTATTTTATCTGTTCAGATTATGATAAACGTATGGCGTGTTTTTATAAGGATGAGCTGAGTTGCAATGGACTTAACGATGCTATGTGTCTAAATGGCACTTGTCAACGTAATGCGCGCTGTAATAAACAATGGGATTGCTTGAATGGTGAGGATGAATATTGGTGTCATTTTGGTGTTGATTCAATAACAATGGCAGTGAAAACTTATCGAAGCAATCGTCGAATAGAACTACAATCAAAAGTGACATTAATTAGATACACAAGTTCATCTATTACGAATACTTATAAACAACTGCCACAACAATCATCTATTGATAATATTCAACAGATTTTTATGAGACTTCATTTTCAAAAGCAGATGCAAACCAACGATACTGACATGACAGATAATATGATGATAGATGAAGCATTGAAGTCAATTCGTGAAAATCCAGAGCTAATGCTGTCAGTGGAGTTACCTTTCATTTGTAATCGTGGTATTCCAATCAAAGATAATCACGGACAAACACGATGCCTTTGTTCGCCAAGTTATTATGGAGATTATTGTGAATTTCATGCTGATCGTATATCTGTTGTCACACATCTCAATTTAACGACGTATAACGGAAATCATACAACCGTCAATACTGAAAATTCCACAGGTTTAGTTTCTTGCACATTTCGTTATGCAGAACGTATAGTTGATCGACATGAATTCTATGTTCATTCAATTGCCAAAACAACTAAACAAAAATTCTATTTTTCTTATTCACGTACAGCAGAATTTAAGGAGCAAAAGCGTTTACAACGTCATGGTACACAACTATATAGTATTCGATTCGAAGCGTTTTATCTTCAATCAGTACACCATCCCGTTCTATTAGCAATGTGGCAATTTCGAATAGACTTCGATTTTTTACCAGCTTTTAGATTTGCTAAAGTTCTTCATTTCAATATGAAAAATCAAAATTATTCTTGTGATTTAATTTGTGGTCCGCATGGAAAATGTATTCGTCTAGAAAATGAAATAAAAAATATGATTTGTACTTGTGAAAGTGGATGGTATGGAGATCGGTGCGAACTATATGATGAACAATGTGAGAATTTTTGCCATCCTCAAGCACTCTGCCGACCTCAAGAACGTGGCTTTATCAATGGTGACCGACGACCAGCCTGTCTTTGTCCTCATCGATGGCTCGGTGCCACATGTCATTTAACTTATCCTGAATGCAAACAATGTCAAAATGGTGGTACATGTTATCTTACCTACGATCGATCTCATACACAACCATTCGAATGTATATGTACCAATGATTTTTATGGAGAATATTGTCAGTTTCCGAAGCGTGCTGTTCTTCTGCGAATTGACAAGTCGTCATCTTCTTCTTATTCTATAAATATTCTAGCAACTAGCATACAATACTATGATGTCACAAGTGATCTAGCTGATCTATATCTACGTAAACAACAGATCTTCCCTGATCAACCGTCTGAAACTCAGATGGGTTATGAGCAAGACAATGCTCCCTCAGTTATTCTTATTAAATCATACAATAAACATTACCAACTACAAGGTCCACTATTCCATCTTGTTTACAGTCAGCACGATGTAAATGCGTCTATTAATATGACCGTACATCTAACAAACGAAAATGAATGTGTTCATACTCATACACTTTTCGATCCTAAAATTATTCAAAGTAGGTACACATATATACAGCTACAGTCTCATTTAATTCTTTTTAATCAATAGATACAGATGCAAACATATTAGTTTTTAAATATCATGAACCATGCCAACGTCATTCACAGAATCGTTCATCAAAAGTCTGCTTTCGAGATGAAAATTATTTTTGTTTATGTAACACAACGATACACCACAGCCAATGTCTTCGCTTTGACCCTTATAGCGATAAATGTCAACATTGTCTTTCAGGAGGTCAATGCATTCGTGGGAGCCTTCAACAAGAACACGACTTTCTTTGTCTCTGTCCTAGATGTATTTATGGTAGTATATGTCAATATTCAATTCAATTAATGAGTTTCACACTTGATTCACTCATTATTAAAGATATACAAGCTCAACAAAAACTTTCGATGGTGATCTATATTTTGATTACTTTCTTGGTTTTTCTAATGGGCATCTTTAGTAATATCTGCAGCTTAGTTGTATTCATTCGGAAGACTCCACGTCAAATTAGTGTAGGCTACTATTTACTACTCGTCTCAGTTCTAAATATTATTTCACTAACACTTCTCTTTGCTAAAATAATCCATACTCTTCTTGGAAGCGCCGGTTGGCTTACAAATAATACAATTAATTTAATCATGTGTAAGTTTTTGTCATCATTCCTCTCAATATCAGTTCGTGTTAACTACTGGTTAACTAGTCTCGTTGCTATCGTTCGACTCTCTCTGGTACTATTTCCAACCAAGATAGTAATAAAAAAACCATTTATAGCACATATTTCGAGTATTGTAACCATTTTCATCCTCAGTGGAATGCATGTCCATGAATTTTTGTATTACACTATCAGTATAGCCGATCCGCAACAGATCAGTTCTCGCGCACTTATCTGTGTCACAAACTTTAATCATCGAAGCTGGTCAATCTATAATCATATTAATGTACTTATTCATCATTTAGCTCCATTTGCTATTCAAGTTACTGCAATTACATTACTTATTATATCGGCTGCTAAAAGTCGTGCTAGAACTGGAAATAATCATGCAACTACTTTTACTCAAATTTTAAGAAAACAATTCAAAACGCAAAAAGAACTTTATGTGACACCAACAATTATTATTCTTGCAGCACTACCACAAATCATTATTACATCAAGTTTTGCTTGCACTGAACTTAGTAATGCTTGGCAACGTTATGCCTTACTCGTCTCATATCTTTTCTCATTTACTCCACAAATATTTGGTTTTATGATCTATGTATTACCTTCGAGCTCATATAAAACAGAGTTTATCAATACCGAAATTGGTCGAAAATTATTTCGTATAAAGATAAATAATCAAAATAACAATCGTACAAATGTATTATTGGCTACAAAACAACATAAGACTAGATTATGACAGAAAAAGGTGTTTCTTCAGACATAATAACATTGAACTATAAGTAGGATGTAACGTGAGAGTCTTAGTATTGTTTTAACTTATCCCAATAAAATTCATCTTCAGGAAAAATTGAATTACCTAAGTTTGATTTGTGTATTTTCTTGAATCTTCTATCTATGTAGTGTTGTGCATGAACCTCTCATCGATGCGGCTTAAGAATGGAATATCCACCCATATTTACAACCACACTTACATCGAGATCCTTCCCACGCCCATACCCTCAAGATGGTGTGGGTGTTCTTCTCATTTATCATCAAAACTAATAACTACACACATGTAATGTTACAATTTTATTTTGCTTTAAGTCTTTACTGTCACAAATAATCTATAAAAAAATCAGTACTTTGTCAATGCACAAGCTTCTAAACCACTTAATTCTCTACTGTACACCCTTAGTTCATCTACTAATCCATTATAGTATCCTAATCCTCCCAGGACACCCGTTGTTGAACATCCGCCAGCTGGATATGGAATTGCTTGTAGAGTACTTGCCAATGTAAGATAGTTTGCCACACCACTGGCACCATATGATGTACTTGTAGAATCGTGTGCATACAATTCACCATTAATATATAAACTCAAACCGTTAACAGAACTCCATGTTTGTACAATATGTGTCCAAGAATTTATTGGTAATATTGGACCGAGTACATACTTAGCTATACTACCACCCCATATTTGGATGGCTAAATGAGTTGTACTGGCGAAACCAATGAACGGAAGGCACCAACCAGCAGTACCTAGAGAAAGAAAAATAGAGAATGGAAGTAACTTTATTCAACTTAGACTAAGATAAAACAGTTCTCTTAGTTTTTTACTAAAAAAAATAGGAAAACGTCCAGAGCCGGTTAAATTTGTTTAACAACTAGAAAATCAAGCAAAAATACTTTTTTTTAACTCTAGAGTTGTATTAGTGCAACTTTTTTCTTGTAAGATTATATACCATTCTTGTACATTGATATATGTACAATTGTACCAGACAGAACATTTGGACTGATATAAAGGGCAATTGAAAATGGTTTAGTTGAACTACCAAGTGTTGTAAGGCCACTGATTTGAAAATAAGAATTTATAGTGCCCGTAAATGACAGAGCTTCATTACGTTCGCCAGCTATGTTTGTTACAGAGACAGCTGTTGCTGTTAAGGTTGCACCAACATCAGTTAGATAGGAGGGTGAAGAATCCATTGGGAAATATGCAACTAGACTAGAATTGGAGGCAAAAATAGGACTACAAGTTGTAGTACTAGTGAATGATGTTGAAGTCGAAGTAACAATAGTAGCTAAAATAGAATGAGATTTTTGATTAAGTTTTACTCCTTTTAGGATCAAATTGATACATACTCGTAATAGACGTCGTTGTAGTTGTTATACTTTCGGTAGTGGTAGTTGTAGTTATAGCTGAAATATAAATTCGTAAGAAAATTTTTCATTCGTTTATGCACTTTTTTGTGCTGATTTTGAATATACAATTGACTATTCGTTTCAATATTCGTAGATTGAGAAAATTCGGACGGATTTCAAAAACTGTGGAAGTTTTGGCAAATCTATGTGGCAGTTCAGAAACATTGATGCCTTATTAGACTACTTATGATAGTGGACTTAGACATAGAACAATCGTGTGTAAGTTTTAGTCAGCGTAAAGTTTAGGACTACTGTATCTTTTACTTATATTATATTTGGAACTATCAGCAATTGAACTAGTACGTTTTATGTTATTTAAAACGACGTCTGTTGCCGTGCATACTGTGCTGTATAAATACTGAAAAAAAATTTGTACTAACTCGTAGTTGTTGTAGTCGTTGTAATGGTCGTAGTTGTTGTACTTGTCGTAGTTGTTGTAGTTGTTGTAGTTGTCGTAGCTGTGGCTGTAAATTGATAGATCTATTGTTGATGTATACAACAACTGGTATTACTTACTCGTGACCGATGATGTTGTAGTAGTTGTAGCTAAGGTAGACAGTTGCCATTTATATTATAATAATAAAAGAATTATCTAATCGCTCGAAATCAAAACTGAAAGATCTCTCGCTTGCAGCTATTGCAACGAGAAAGAAGCAAAATCCTAGAATACTGAATTCTGTAGAATTTTATGGGATTTCTAATAAACTTATATAAGTAATTGCGTGACTTAGACTTGAAATATAGAAGTTTCAATAAGAGAATACCTTTTTTTGTTTCGGAGATATCACTTCTGTAGAAATTTGTAATTGCACGGGTGAAACTAATTGAAAACTGAAATCTACAGGAAGTGACCAAATTCAATCTTAGAGATTCAAGTATTTCAGCGTAAAATTCGGCTGCAATAAATTTGAAGTTGGTCATGGACATGACTATACAAAATATGATTGATCTGTATATCTGATATTGCAAGTACCGCTATAGTAAACGATATAATTCCGGTTAAAAAATGTGAAAATATATAGACTCAGATTTGATATTGAATAGATTGACTAATGCGGTTGCTTGATATTCTTTTATTGAACTATTTCGATGTGAAACCGAAATATTCACATGAATGAGTTTAAATTAGTCGTATTAATCGATATATTCAATATATACTCACTCGTTGTTTGGTTTGTTAATCCATGTGAACCAAATACAGCCACCATAAGTGCTGCGAGTCCAGCCAGAAGAAGAACAGCTCCTAATACAGATGATATGATGCACAATGGACAACACGAAAAATAGCCGCAACATTTTTTTCTGTAAAAATATACTGAGCTAATGATAGTAATAGAAGGGAAAACACGAACTTGAGACACGTTTGAGTCTGATTTTTCCATTTAACAAAGACATCCGTCGTTTTTAATCGTTTTGACAATGCTTTCATCTATTCATTGATCAATTATAAATAGTAAAATCACTATGGTTCGTCAGACTTACCAAAAAATTAGCATCTTCATTCGGTGTATTCTAAATAGAGCCGGTATTCGTACACTTTGTTAATAAGAAATACCACTTACAGAAGGATTTTTTTGTGTGACATAATTGGCTGATATCACTGAGTCTGGCTTCTTATCGTTAGAATGCGTATTAAACCAATCATTCACTGGTGACGCGGCTCGAAATGAATCTGATGATGCTGATGTTGTACCCTTCTGCAGTTGCTCATTATTGTCTGAGATATGTCGCTGTTGAGGTAGTTGAGACTAGGGAAGTAAATTTGTTGTTACTTTTTAAAAATAATTTTAGAACTCTTTGGGTTTCTCAACTGCACTTTCAAACAAATTGGACATATCGGTAGACAATACTATAGTCAAACTCTCTTGAATCTACCCTAATGCTGATTTTCTCGAATAAAATAGTGTTGAATGAAAAAATTCTCTGCATCTCACCATATCTTCTGAAACAAAATGACGTCCATTTCATACAACTCACTGAATTTAAAACGTTGTCGGGAATAATATCTATCACGGGATTGAATACTGAGCCATCTGTTGCGTGAATTTTATCAATTGATTGTAGCTTAGTATTTTTGATAATAGAAAAGTTTTGTAAACAAATAGGTACACTCTGAGCCAACACTTGCGTTGTCGAGTCTGTCTTTGATACCAGACGATGTTGATTTGATATTTTTATTATTTTGCTGTTTGAAGTAGAATGACGTGTGCGACGATTTCTCTTATGTACTAACTGAATGACATCAACATTCAATTTATTATCTGCTTCATACAACGAAGTCTCTTTTCTTGAATTCTCAATTGGCTTTATCCGAGTGACTGAAATTCTAGAGCCATGAACAGCCTTCTGCATCATCTTGAAGTAATGGAATGTTTCTTATTATTTTTTTTCGATCTATCGTAAATTTAAAAAAGCTATCGGTATGCTTGATTATTACATTACTCGGGCTTCACATTATACTTGCAACTAGACAGTGCCGAAGATGAAGTTGCTAGCAATAATAATATTGTTGTGCATACTCTCAAAATTTTTCGTTCTGCTTGTTCTTTTTTAATTAAAATATTTTCGTTGGTTTCAACAATGGCTGACGCAAATGAATTAGAAAATAATACAGATTCTATTTATATTTTATCGATAGTTTCGATAAGATCTACTATTTTCTTGGTCATTGAAGCCGTATTTGAAGAAAATAACGATATATTATAAACATCTCACAAGTGGGTGGGAATATTATGTTTATCTCATATCCGGAAGATAGTCGTACGCTGGCTAAACTCGGCCTGTATGACTGTATGGAAGAGCTGTCATTATTTATCAAAGTTATTTGTTCCATGATCGTATTGAAAGAAACTTTCATTTGAATCAATTTGCATATGTCATGTGACAGGAGTAACGAGATATTACTCACAAGTTCTTTATCCTTTTTCAATCAGCATATACCTGCGACTATTATTTGAAAAAAAAGCGTCAAGAATCATCCGTTCGTTGCTCGTAGAGCATTTTTTATTCAGAAGAAAAAACTACCGCAAACCTATTTCGAACTCCAACAATTGATAGAACTCACCAAGCGACTCTTTCAAGAGCAGCTCGGGACCAACAGTCAAAACTAAATGCAAAAATACTATTTTTGATTTAGTTCCTTGGAGAAGTTTTTCCACTGATCTCTGGCAATTGGTTTGAAAATAAATGGTAGTAGTTCACCATCACGATAGAATGCACCATTTTCTAGTTCACTCAGAGGAGAGTTCACTGCATGTAAGATCGAATCGGCACCAAACTCAACAGGACGAGCATCTGGTGCATTATTATTGATATCTGTCGCACAAAATCCAGGTGTGACAGAAACAATAAGAAGATTTTTCATGTTCTTCCACTGACGCATTTCCACTTGAGTTAGAGCATTTAGTGCTGCTTTCGACATGCCATAGATAGGCGAACATGATTTGATCGAATATCCTGCAGCATCGAGTGTATTTGTTTTAATAGATGCTATGAAATCTTCGACAAGACTATCGAGCTCAGTCAATGTCAAGGTTGATGCGGTGTATTTTTCCTGAATGTTTTTTGACGTTTCATACAATGTCATAGGACCGATTTGACTAGATACATTGATGATACGACCATGCTCTCTCAAGAATGGTAACAAATGCTCATTCAGTAGTTTGACACCATAATAATTTGTGGCAAATGTTTGACGAGCTGCATCAACGCTGACTTCTTTCACTGAAATTCCAGCATTGTTAATGATGACATCCAATTGACCAGCGTATTTTTGTTGAATCTCGTTTGTTACTCGAACAATGCTTTCTAGTGACGATGTATCCAACTGAAGAAGAAACACATTGGACGGAGATCCTAATTTGATAAGAGCATCTTGGCCTCGTTTTACATCTCGACTACCAAGAAGAACGACAGTCTCTTCATGACTCGATTTTTCTTCAACGAGCTTTTTGACAATCCAAAATCCGACGCCTTTGTTCGCGCCTGTCACTAGAATGATGCGTCGTCGTGTCGACGACATGCAAATAAAAGAGTAAACTGTGATGAATCGTAAAAAAAAACTTAATTCAAGATGACACGTTGGTGAGAGATGTGATATCGTAGTTTGCCGTCATTATATAGCAGAGAGCTATGTTGCAAACATAAAAGTAATTGAATTAGAATCATTAGAAGCACATGAAAGCCATGCAATTAGAATCATTAAAATCACATGAAAATGATGTGAAACTAATGCAATTAATTTAATTTTTCTAAAATAATCGATGTCATAGAATGAAAATGATGTGAAAATAATGTGATAATTTTGGACTTTTTTTTCTGAAATATTTATAAAGATGGAATTCTTTTCATGAAAATTTTCTATAAAAGGCAAGTGTGAGTGTGAATAGAGGTTGGTGGGTATCGATAAAATAGAATACCTTCTTCAGCACTCACTCACATCCACACCCTGAAAAATATACAATTTGATAGTTCAATATTTTTAAATTTGGCATATAAGATGTAATCAATTGTTCCCATTATTTAGCATTGAGATAAATCAAAAACTACTTTTTCACAAATTGCCCTAAAATACGAAATTATACTTTTTCTAATCCGAAAGACATATCTGTTAATTGATAAACGACGAAGTTAAAGAATATATGATAAAAAATATTCAGTCGATCAAGATAACAGTTACTATTGATAATGCGAGATTTTCTAAACATTGTAAATTAATTTCGCGAAGAATAAATTTTTGAAGCTAGGAACATTTTAAAATATCATTTGTTGATGAAGAAAAAAAT